CACCCTCGCTTTTCCTTAAATAGTAAATTTCTTCAAATTCTGATTTTTAGAATTTATAAGTATACCTAAAGACCATATCTTCAAATTTCTGATATTTTTTATACTACTTAAGGAGTCTCCTCCTATATGTAACGAATGTACAAACTTCTATTTTTCAAATGAGAACCCCCATTTTTTACTGTAAGTATCAAAATCCAAATTCAAATTTCTGAGACACTAAAATGTTTATACTAATCATAATAATCCTTAAAAATGGTTTTATAAAAATAAAAACTACTGTAATATTAGATGTATTTATTATACTTAGATCATTTTTACAAATTATTTATAGATAAACTCCTGGTGTACCTATCAATAGTATTAAATTTTTAAAATTATCTACGTCCCATATCTACTTAACCCATTTCCATAGCCATAATTTACCTAGTAGGTACACAAAGTTATGTAATTCAAAAACTACTCTCTTGAATTTTGATTCAGATGCAAAATTTCTAAAATCGTTATTCTTGGCGTTGATATGTAATTTCGCCCAAATATGAATTTGAAATGTCTGTTAAAAATAGCAGTGTTTATATATTTTTTAGATTTTTAGGTTAGGTACAGTACGAACTATTTATGAGAATCGTTGTTTTAACTTTCCCATCCTTAGCTATACAAATTAAACATTTTAGAAAATGATAAAATAAACATTTGATGCAATTTCAAGTAATTACCTGCGGTTAATAATTTTTGATTAACAACAAAAAAAGAAAATCGTCGTATGAGAATTTGTTAGTTTAAGAGGACGTGATACCTGTATGTGTTGTCTCTGTCTTACAAGTGCGTAACATAGCAAATTTTACGCTCAGCAGAACACGTGTAGCTCCGTTAGTTTTAAAATGAGTGCGAATTGACCTCTTATAAAATCTAAAGGTAAGATTATTATCTAGGCAACCCCATAGGGTTTTTATTATATTTTAATTTGAACGCGAGTTATGAGTATTTTAAAATTGTAAATTTTTTATACATCTTAAAATACTTATACATAACTCGCGTTAAAATAAAAATATAATAAAAACCCTATGAGGTTTCCTAGATAATAATCTTACCTTTAGATTTTATAAGAGGTCAATTCATTTTAATTTTCAAATTAAGGGAGCTACACGTGTTCTGCCTAGTGTACAATTTGCTATGTTACGCACTTGTAAGACGGAGACAACACATGCGGGTATCACGTCCTCTTAAGGGTGAATATTCAATGTCTAATTTCAAACTCTCATAAAAATGAATTTGCCTTTCCGGTAGACATTTTTTTTTTTTTTTTTGATAAAGGTATCACATAAAGAATTTTGTATACAATTTTCAAACCTTATATAATACCTTTAAAAAGAAATAATTTGCAACATTTCAGTGACTTTTACGATTTTTGTCAAAATTTAAATTGCGAATTTTCGCTCTACCTTTTTTTTTAAATTACCACCTATAACAAGTAAGATGAATCTTGTACCTAATACATTTTGAAATTTTTTTGACAGAACAAAAATGTTTTTATTGACATTAATTTTAAAACAAACTAATCAAAATATTCATAATATCCATAAATAGCTCAACATGAGTCAAAATATTTTGAAATTGTTATTGTGTATAAAAAATGCTAATATGAACATTGAGTGAAAATTTCATCCGTGTACGGTATTTTTTTTTTAAGTTACAAAAAAATCCAAATAAATTTAGTCAAAAATCAAAAATTCCCGTTTATTCTTACTTTTGTTCCGGCGCTTTTGAAAACTATTGTTAATTTTAAATTTTGTCCTCCCGAATGCACCAACTAGATTCACTCTCCTCCGGCTCAGAATCTATAATGAAAAGGGGTGGTGCCTACTTTAAAACGAAATTTTGTATTTCACAGACTCGTCCTTAAGTCAGTACTCGAAATGGACCGGAACGGAGTAATATTCGTAACATTAGCCTTTTGCGTCTGTTCCGGATTTTTATAATAAGTACTTAAGAGTTCCTGATAATAAAAAAAAAAATGGACCTAAATTTTGGAAAAATAAAATGAAACTGCCACTTGGTGATACATGTCTGAAATATCACAATCAAACGTATTCAAATTATCAAATTTGCTTTTGACAAATGATAAAGGTAATAGAAAAGTACAATTATAGCAATAGCTAGACTTTACGCTTGTCGTTGCCGACTGTCCATTCATATAATCATATCTTTGTTTTATCGCAATAACAACTTTATGATCGAAAATGTAAGTACCTACCTATGGGCTACTAGTTTCGTACCCAGGACATTTTTGGGAGGATACAATATTTTATTGTTATATCTGTTATAGGGTATTATCAGCTTATTACAATAAAATAAGTTGGTTCATATTTAAGAATAATGATTACAAATTTTAAAGACCGCCATAATATATTTCCCTGGCCACTCCACTAGTGAAATCATAATATTACTTTTTTAATTCCTTGTTGTCAAAAAAACGGTAGACAAGTGAATACCGCTTTGTTGTAGTAGTCATTGTAATAAAAGTTTTAAATTTAAATTCAATGATAAATTATGTATACGAGACAGCGTGTGACAGCATATCATACTTGTAATTAATAAAAATATTTAAAATTTAAATAACGAATAGTAAAAAACAAAATTTCATGATTTTAAATAATTCAAAGAGACGAAACATTTTGACAATTTGCTAGGCATTATAAACATTTGGTGAATATTTCAAGTGTCTGCGGACAAATATTGAGGAAATTATTATTAACTCTTAATTTATTTGTATAATTCATTTTTTTAAGCTTAAAGTATATGTTTTTATAGAATTTATTGTAAATATAAATAAAAAAATACTATTATTATAGTCGATTTATTTTATAAGCGTTCTAATTCGTAAAATTATCCATTTCGGGCACTGCTTTACGTGGTACAAAAAATCTTAAAAATTCGAAGTTATTTTAGTCTTCACTCTTCAGCTCTTCTAGTGTATTTAAAAGTTCCAAAAATCGGAATTTTTGATAATATTATCATTATTTAAGCAAATACGTAGGTTGAGCATGCTTAAAAAATCGCCCTGTATATTATTAAAAGAATAAAATAATATAAAGTCTATTAGTAAGTTGAAAGAAAGTTTAGAATTACATGCAGTTCGAGTTATTTATTATATACATAATACATAAGATAAAACATCAAAATTTAACCAACAAAACAATCGGTTTTTATGATCAGGTGATATTTTTGGCCAAAACATTTTACCAACAAAGTTGTATAGCATGGCATTGAGTTTAAAAGTGTACTTTATTCAAATCATAAAAACTTAACAATTAAAGATACTGAATTTATCACCTATATTCAATAGTTCTAGTAGGTATATACTAACCTGATGGTCTAATTATTGATGTAGAAAACTTACCTATAAAACTAAAAGAAATAGAATGTCCTTTTCAACGATCATTCCAAAGTCTGTTAAATGTTCTTGATATCCTATCCTTCATAAGAAATAAATTTAACTTCAAGCAATATAATTCATATTATGCATAAATATAGCTAGACTTGAAGAGTGTTCTCTTCATCAAAAAATATTTTTAGAAGGTTTCTAGTTTTTTTGTACGTGATTACCCGGTAGGTGAGTAGAGTAGTGGACCAACATTTTGTGTACTACATCTAGTCCACACGCTTATATACACTTTAAATACTTATAACTCATAAGTAGGGATCTTGAGTTCATGCCCTAAAAAATGTCCAAACAAATCTGCACTTCGCTAAAAACTGACAAAATATACATTGAAATATGCATTAAAAATGTCAGAAATATTCATTTATGCACTAAAAATCTAAAACTATGTACTTAAAATATGCAAATTAGAAAAAGTAGAAATTATAAGTAATTTCTAGAACAAAAAATTTTCATTCATATTTACTATTTCATATAACGTGTTTTCCACTATTTGCTTAACTCGGGCCACAGGCTCTATAAGTTTATTTTCAATAATTTTACATCCCGAAAATTATCATATATTGTATACAGTACAAAATATAAATTATTGCATTTTCATCAAATTTTGGGAAAAATACGCAAAATATGCACAATAAAATAAAAAACGCATAAAGATGCCAAATAATGTTTAAAAAAAACCTCTAAATATGCTTAATAAAACTTCACATTCTCATCCGCGGTACCTTGAAATGGATTTCTATGTCACCTAGCATTAAATATGACTTAGCAAGATTTATATGCGAATGCATGAGCTCACGAGCCCTAACACTACTAATCTAAATTCGATTTTTATACATCGAAATACTCAAAAAAATATTTGGCTTTCAAAGATGAAATTCAAATATTTGTATGTTGTACTTCCAAAATGTAATAAAGAATATTTGTAAAAAATATAATCGTTTATTAATTTAAGGACCTAAAACAATGTAAAAGTGGCCCATAATTGGTTCATTACATTTTATTGGACCGTTAAATTAATACATTTTTCATGCAACCCGGCATAAAACTTTTTTTTAATGAAATACCTAATTATAACAGTTGACATAATTTACATTGCTGTTTGAATACATAAATGTAAATAATAAAAAATTAAATAGATATAAACATATATAGATGATGTATGAAGCATTGTCTGGTATATTTTTTTTTTACAGAGTAAAAAATGTACAGTAGAAATAAATATAAAAACTTGATATAAAATATAATTTAAATTGGATACATAAATGTTATAAAAAAAGTATTGTTACAAATCAACTCTTAAATAAAATAACAAACTTTTAACTAAACTAAACTAGTCTATAAACTAGAACATAATAAAATTTTCAAAAAGCATGTACCTACTTCATAACAATATTTGTAATAACTAACTGATGAAATTATAATAATGAAATAAACAATAAATAATATGTATGTTTTTTTTAATAAAAACTGGTACAAAAATAATTCAAAGTTCATGATAATATTGCAATATTTCAATCAAAAAGAAAAAAAACTCAAATACTTGCATAATAAATTAATACATAAGATAATACTAGAGGTATCTTTAAAATAAAATGTATTAAAAAAACATCTGTTAACCTTAAATAATATAAAACTGTTTTGTATAAACATCAACAAATATTCTGAACATTAAAATCTTGAATTTGATATCTGAAATTATTATTAAATTATAGATTGTTAGGTAAAACCGTAAAAATGATCATCATCAATAGACTTTAGTTCTTAAAAATTTTTACTATTATTTTAAACTATATTTTTATCAACAACAACTAGACTATTAAAGTAATAAATCTATATTTGGTTTTGTTATGTAACTTCCCACCCATTGGTATGAGGAAATCACCTCACTTTGTTCATTATTATATTTAATAAATAACCAACACAGAATATTTTAACTATAATTGGGCCACAGAGAGTAGTGCTCTATTAGTGGCCCGATTACCAAATTACTAATTTATAAATTTTTTACCATTTTTCTTTATTATAAATATTTAAAATTTGCAATATTAAATTAATTTTATTGATATTATAATTTTTCTTTAATAATTTAGAAGGTTATAAAATGCAATACTTAAGTAAAATTAAATCAGTATTTAATTATTAACTATTTTGTAAATATAAAAATATAAGAATTCAGTCTTATTAGTTTCTATAAAATGAATAATAGTTATATATTAAGAAACATTCTTCATTTTACCGTTGGATTGTGCTTATAATTTGATCTTCTGTGACATCGATCTATTGTATCTTGAAACACTACACTTTAGCCACACAGCTACAATTTTTTTAAACTCAAAATCTGTATTTATTTGTGGATCATAACATTCTTGCAAAACTTCTATAAATATTAAAAACATACAAGACATTGAAATAAAATAATTACCAGGTAAATAAAAAAAATCTTCTTTACTTTTTAAAATCTTAATTAAACATGTATCACGAATTTTAGTCAATTTCTCCTTGCCACGCCCGGTCCATGAGCATTTAGTAGCATATTCATCAGTGATAATTTTTGACAAAGCACGTACTGCGTGGTTTTTAAAGGAACAACCACCAATTTTTTTGATATAAATTTCCTATTTATAATAAGAAAGTTGAATTGTAAAATTATAAATCAATATATTCCAAATAAATATAAAAATGCCTAACTAGTTTCCGTCCAAAGTCAAAATTGTTGTTTAATATGCATTGTTCTACATGTTCTAATGCATCTGGATTGTTTATTGGAAACTTTTCTAAAAACTGAGCATCAAAACTTTCAGTTAGAGGCAAGTTGAAGTTCATTTCAGCAAAAACTGTTTGCAAATTTTCCAATTTTGACAATACTTGGCTTAACATTAATGTTATATTTATTCCACCATTGAAAATTCCATATAATAAATTGTTTATCTCCAAGTCTAGTACAATATAAAAAAAATATCCATCATAAACTTCTAATATAATATTAACTATACTTCAAGACATATTTATTAAACTTAAAAATATAAGACAAAGTTCAGATTTTAAGAGAAAAAATTATGTTTACTATTTAAATGAGTGGAATCATCTTTTTGAATTTTTGCTGACTGGGGTATATTCATCATTATTGTCTCTTGGCCAGTTGTAATTCCATCATTAGGTAGATTAATATTCTATAATTAACAAGGTAAAAAAGTAAATTTAAAATGTATATCAATGACAAAATATCATTAAAAGTATACTGTGAAATACTGGACATTCTCAGTCACTGAAATATTGTCCATTATTTAGGGGGTTCAGTTTGTAGAAAGTTTGTAGTTTGTCCCCAAAACAACGTCTGCTATTGGGAGGTATTTGATATTTAGAAATGTTAGTATGGGAAATCGTCTACTGTAATCCATTAAGTGGATTCAATAGATAAGGTTAGATTTGGTTTTTAACCTTTGCACTGCTACACAATGTATGCTCTGCAACTGTGTAAGCTACATAGAATATTTTTTGTTTTTTAAATTAAAATTTTTAGATATATATCAGGGATGGGCAACTCAAAGTTACCAGAGGGTCAATTTTTAGAAAATCTAGAGGACCAGAACATAGAAAGCAAAAAATAAGGGGGGCCATTCTAAAATATACATTTTGATTAGATTTATTTTGTTCATAGTTATTTGAAAATGTAGCTTGGGTCAGATAAAAAAAGGCTGTCCGCCAGTTGCCCACCCTTGATATATATGATCTAATTATTTAAGTTTAAAATAATGCTAACCAGGATTACCTAAGGTTGTACGGTTACAGCCAATGATAATGTTATAAAATACAGGAACGTAATAGTAAAAAATCTAAAGCAGTGAATAGTGTAAATGTCTTGGACAAATTAGTACATCTGGAGCAGTGAAAGGGTTAAAGTACACAATATTAACAATTTTTGAAGGCTATGCAAGTAATCATTATTAGTATGTGCGATCATAGTGCAAAAAAAGACAAAAGTAGCAGAGCGCACCCAAATGTGCACATTTCAAAAAATTTCACAATAGATAATATATTAATATGTTATGAATATAATATAATGACAAAATCTTTACGATTAGTATTTTTTGAATAGTAAAATATAACCAATATTTATGGGAAATTTGTTATCTCAGGATTAAACATCCAATGTTGTCCAAATTAGAACTTGCTCTTAAAAATAAATGCAACTTCATACAACAATTTTTTTTATTTCAGTAAGAATAACTTATGAGTAGGGCCGGATTTATATGCTCATTAGAATGAGTTTTTTGAAGTTGATGAGAATTGTCTCCTTCTAACATTATTCTTATTAAAATAACACAAATTGTATTTTCATATTTCAACGTTTTACCTATTAAATGCATATTTGTTGTTTTATAGTGCATATTATTATTTATACATTGCATTTTACACACATTATATTTGTTTTTCGTCATATTCTCACATTCACAGCCACATAGTATCAATAAAATTATAACAAAAATGTGAGCAATATTTTATAGATTGAAGATTAAAGAACAGGCCCGGATAGAGCAGTTTATTATTTATCTTTGTCAACTGCTTAATATAATATGTACAATTTATATTGTATGATATATTATGTTATTATTAAAATATGGATAGCTATTAATGACTTTATCTTATTGAAAAATGTGCCATTAACTTTTTTAGGGCCGGTTAAAATCATTAAACTCTGTGGATACCTTGCCTATCCTACGCTGATTAAGAATTTTAAAAGTCAAAGAACTTAATGAAGACAACATCATATTTTTTTATACTTTTAAAACCTTTTTTGATATTTAATTAGTTAGTACATACTTTTTACATCATGTTAAATAAAATGTTTTTGATTTAATTTAAAGCAGATGTTAAAAAATAAATATATGCATATTTGGTAGCATATTACAGCATTTTTAGAAGCATATTTTGAGGGTTTTTGTATATATTAATCCGGTCCTTACTTCTGAGGAATCTAGTTTTAAATTGTCAAGCCTTAGGTATTCAAATTAAAAATTGTATGCAATTTAACTATAAAATAGTTTTACAAATTTTTATAAGTTTAACTAATTTTGATATTCATTCATGAATAATATACATCTCATAATTTTAAATTTTGAAGTTTTAGTTTTTTTTCTATGCGCGTTACAATATATTTTTTTACCAACAATATCATGATTATTGATTAAGTGATTAAGTTAATATAATAAATAATTGATTTTACTGATTATAATATAGTGGTTAATACCTCATTAGAATACCTAACCTCATCAAAGAAACAAAAATCAAGCCAACCCCTGTACCTATTGATGGATATTACACCGAAAAATATTATTGTATAACAAAAGCCTTATCATAAATTGATTCTTTTTAACAGCAATTAAAGGAAAGGTTTTTGAAGCACAAAAATACATTAAAAGGCTAGTTAATACCTATTTTATTTTATTTTTAAATTGATTTATTTTTAGTATTTAAAATATATTTTTCTTTTGTTAGAATTTGTGTTTATTTTCTAAAACCTTAACTCACGAGTTTGACAAACTGGTCCAGTTTTACCTAGATATTAATCTACAAATTGTTTAAGCTGAATTACAACTATGGCATACAAAATTAGAGAAAAATAAAGAACAACCAAAAAAAAATGCGTTGCGCGTGTGTAGCAGAAAAATATTCACTAGTCTTTTAAAAATGTTGTGTTTCATACCAGTATCTACATTGGGCATGTCAAACTCATAATATCAAGTGGGCCAAATATATTGAATTTGGACCGCACATAAAAATAAATATTTTGTACAAATTTTATTCTTTAAGTTTACAAATACAACAATACAATTTAATTAAAAAAAACTTTAAAAAATTAAAACAATAACATTTAAATAAAATATAAATCAAACTAATTATTTATGAAAATAGGTGTTATATAATTGCAAAAAAAAAAACATAATAATTTTTTTTAGAGTATATTTGACGTCACTTTTCTCCCACCAACTTTTCACTTTTCAAGAGGCATATGCGTCGCACACTGACGATATAAGTTATTAATCTATAATCTATATATATATAAATATATATATAAAACCATCAATAATTCTTATTTGATTATAGTTTATCAGAAGATAAGACAGTATGATAATGTTTACCGAATAAACCATTCTCTAAGATAGTCGTGATACGACTATTTTTTTTTTTGTCCATTAATATTGGTAGCTGTGGGCCATAAAAAAATGAGCAGCAGTCAGCGTATTTGACATGCATGATCTACATCAATGCCAGAGAGGACTTTTTCTTGTCTTGACAGGCTTCAAAGCTATTTACAAAGTACAATGACAGAGGTACCACTTCTGATTTTTATTTACCAACATTGTGTTTAGTTAAATTTATAAGTAAAGTGTATCTGTTAAATTATTTTAGACCAGTCTTTTTTAGGCAATCAATGGAGATGTGGCAAAAAAGCCAATAAAAATTGAATTTTTATTTTAACACATTGAAGTATATATAATTTTTTAAAACATTACATTTGTAATTATTATGACTAAGGGGGGTGTGGGGGGCACAGCCTCCCACCACAGTATTCTAGTAAATTTTCACCCCCCCCCCTCTTGAAAATTCCTAAGCCACGGTTTATAATTAAATGGTATTTTTACTTGCATAATAAATGTATGTGAAAAAATGTAAGGGCATATTTTAGCACACATTTCAATGTTTTTAAGTACATAAATGCATGCATATTTTGGTACTTTTCATTACATATCATACTTCTGGGCCCTAATAATAATGAATCAAAAGTATAATTGTCAACATTTTTAAAAAAATTACCCATATAATCATTCCAATCCATAGAAAAAAATATATCATAGTACCTCTAACAACTGACTTGAAGAACATGCATCAATCTGCTTATTAATATTCCTAGGTTCTGATAAGTTGCTCTTTTCATCTTTTTGTGTTGGTATCAGTGAAGTTTTTTGAAAAGAAGATTCAACCAATATTAATAAATGGTGCCAAGCTTGAACATAATCATCTTTAAAAAATTAAAATTTTGTTTATTTGTAGGTACCTCCGATACCATACGCTAATACAATTTCCAAAATTAATTAGTTACAAATATTTATTATATAGGTTTTACACAAATAATATTAGCCTAAAGCTAATTTAAAAACTTACCAAATAGTTTATTGGCAATTACTTTTATTTGATATGTTAACCAAGTTGAATCTGGAGGGTCAGCTCTTATTGCAACTTCGCTAGTAACATTTGGATTAGGAGGCCATAGACAATACATTCCATTTCCATTACCTTTTTTTTCCAATAACCAGTTCAAAGGTATTACAGCATATTCGTGGGATTTTGGGAAGTAGGCCACTACCCAAGACATCTAAAAAAAATGTATATTTAATTTCATGATTAAATAAAAAATATTGTGATGTCAGTAAATCTATTTCAAGCAATGTGTTTTATAAATTTAAATTATTGAATGATATATTTTGAGTATAGTTAAGTTTTCATGACTCAAGGAAAATCTTACTAAGTTTATTGTGCAACTAGTATTTTTATTTGTTTTTTACAATAAAAATGTAGATATAATAACTAACTAAGACTGTCTACCTAGCTTAGTGAAAAGTTTAGATTGAAGTAGTTACATTTACATACATATTTTTAACTAGTAAGCCCAACTGATTACAGCAGGAAAATAAATAATTTACAAATGGAGCGCTACCATGTGTAGATAAATTGATTCAATGCTCAAATAATTTCATACTAATATACAATAATAGGTACCAGTCTGTATCTATCTACCAGTTTATTTCCATATAACATTTTATCTAATAAAATTCCTTCAGAAATTCCAAATACTGATTAACTTTTAAAGTCAACATAACTACCAGTGCTGCAACACCCATCAAAAGCGGGAAGCCGGGACAATGTCCCAGGAAAACACCTCTCATACAATGTATGTGACTCCTATTAATATTAATATTAGGAACTTGATAATAATTACTACCTCATCTAAGTCAATATTTATAAAATTCACAATTTTAATTGTATATTCTGTATTAAGATTTAAGGTCGTAAGGTACTCCATATTAAATAAATCTAAAAAATGTTTGTACAAAAACAGTGATAAGACTAACATGTATAATAAATAATAATACCTAGTCATTTATTGGAATTTTATGGAAAATATCCACAAAATATGCGTTTCCTCAACAGACCCAATCCATCAATTTAAAGAATTCATGAAAAATAAAGATATTACTATTAATTTACCTATAATATGAAATAATAATGAATAGCAGTTTTAAAAATATTCACATGCATTAATATTTTAAGGTAACACTGCAACATATCTATCACTAAGGATGTTTCCTTGTTTTGATAGATCTGAATCTCACAGAGAATAGATTAAATAGATGGCTACTTTCATACTAAACAATGCTATTGGAACAAGTTACCCTAAAATTTTAGCAGCTAATATAAAATGTTTGAAATTGTTAGTAAATGTCACAACTGTTGAAACGTCCTTTTCAAAATAAAAAACTATGAAAAATTATTTACAAAATTCATGTGGCCAGAATTGACTTCCAAACATTAGTTATTCAATATAGAAAAAGATCCGACTTCAGAGCTAAAAACTAAAAAATTAACTAAAGATTTTTGAAATTTGAAAGCTAGAAAGATGAAATTTGTTTAAACAATTATTATAGTTTTACCATGTCTGTTGGACTTATAGGGATATATAAACTTCATTTACCTATTTGAAAATATGGAGTTTATCAATATGAACAATAGGAATTATTATTTTTGGATATTAGAACCTAAATAGGTAGTCCTTTGTCCCAGGTTTCATATATTCAAATTTAAAAAAATTTTAAAGTTCACCATTTAGATCATTACTGCAGTTAAAAGTTTGGCGGTCCTTTCAGTTGAAACATTTTACACAGAGTGGTTGAGTGTTGGGGCCCCAAAAAAAATCTGCTCAGTGACGAAAAAATTACGTAATCTGCCACTGTCAAGCTGTAATGCAATGTTTGTTTATTGTTTAAGTTGTTTTAAATAAATATTTTGAATAGTAGTAGTATAATATTTCGATTTTGAAGATACTGTAATGCACCGTTTTTTTAAAAAACGTTCGATTTACCTTATTATCCAAAAGACAATTCCTATTTTTAGTTTTTAAGCACATATACTTTGGTTGTGCACATTTTGATAATGTACATTTATTAGAATTCGAACCTTACTTGTAAGTTTGTTATTATTGATTGTTTGACAAAAAAATTATAAGTTGGAAATCAATATAGTTCAAGTTAATTTGTGCTCGTGTAGAGAGTAGGCAGATCGTATAGACCAGGGTCGGCCAAACGGTCGATAGCGGACAATTTCAAAATCGATTATGTTAGAATTTATTTTTAGGGACTAGCGCACGAAAATTGATCCAAGTTGTAGTAAACAAATTTTCGATAAGCTTTTTCTGTTAAATGTTTATTTTTTATTCCGATTTTGTATGTCAATTACGACCAATTGGTCAACGACATGCAATGCCACACTTCAACAATGCCCAGATCAACAAAATAATATGTTAATTAGACGTAAGTAATTAGATTTTAGAAATTATTATTTATTATAATGTTACGAGTATTTTCAGTAATTAGTAATTAGTATGTAATACTTATTGTATGCTTATATACGCTTTATGCAAGTATGTTTCTTAATAATTACAATTATTCAATAGTAAAAAAAGTTTTTCTATGATCATCGATCCTCAAATGTAAAGTTTATTTTTAGTAGATCGTGACCACAAAAGTTTTGCCAAACGTCGGTACCCCTGGTATAGACGGTACTCACCTTTGGTATCACGTGGGTCATTACGATAGTTCGTACAGCAGTGGCGATCTTATTAAAACTGTATTAGGAAAGTTGAAAACGGTTTCGAATAAAATAAATGAACGTTCCTATCGTTTCATCAAACGGCTCGTGCCTCTACAGTTGTACACGCTTCCTGACTGCTGCTGCGAAAGTGCGACCGTTGCGACTCGCGACAAACTCGTGGGTCCCCGATAATGTGTTTCGGGCTTGGCGGGGCGGGGCGGGACGGAGTCTCTCGTATTCGCGGTGCGGCGGCGGCGACGGCCGACAGTATTATTGTTGTTATTCCCGAACAATTATTATTTTTAGATGTTGACTGATAGATTAAACCGATTCCGTGATGATTATTATTATTATCATCAAAATCGTTCATAATATTTTCGACGGTTTTAAAGGAGCGCAAAAACAAGTTTGCTTGGATTTAAAATACATGATACATCCTTATATTATTATTCTATTAAGAAACGTAGTGTGGGTCTCGCAACTCTAATATTACTCGACGAGTTACAAACGTTTGCAAATCTACGATGTTTTACGTTATGATGTGCATAGATTAATTAATACCATCATTTCCAATCATTAAAGATTAATATTATTTTCTAATGTAATCCCACGTGTATTTATGCGTTTAAGACACTTATGAGGTTATAATTATTTTGATATACTTAAATACTTTTTAGTTTTTTCATTGCATTTAAATCTCGAAAAATTTGGCATGTGCCCGTGATGAGCCGCTAACTCAATTTTACGATTTTTGTATTAATAATTAATTTCTATACAGTGACAAGACGATAATATTATATTATATTTAAAATCACACTTGGAGCGAAATTAAAAATAAAAACAATAAATACTATTGTATGCCATTATAATCACTGCGTAAATCAAGCAATTTGTACGTGTAAAACTTACGGTCATGTACTCATCAGCTCTATGACGGCTTATACTAATGGCTTAATCTCGTTGAATAATATTTTTTTGGCTTCGGATTTTCACTTATACGTTTTTCATAATTTTGAAAAGAAATAGTAATTTTGTAATCTCCGCTGAACTGATGCTTCCATAACCTTTTACGATATTTTATAAATTTGAAATTCCCCATGATTGTTCAGTTATATTGCGTACCTATTACAGTATTACTCCGTACTCGAGGTTTTACTTATACATTGGGATTTGTGAATAGTTAAGATAAAATTATATTTCGGCGGCTTGCAAGCTAGTTGTCGGTGTCGTCGTTATCGATAACTGCAGATACGACGATTCAATTGATTATTTTATTTAATAATAACGATGATACACTCAGTGAGATAATACTTCAACACGTTTTGTACACCGATACGTTTATTTTACTTTTCTATACAATATCGATGAGAAAAATTTAGGTAAACTACTACAAGGACCTCTCTCTCTTATTCGTGTATTAAAAGTAAATAATAAGACTAGCCAGCCTAGGTACGACATGTAATGTAATTTTATAAGTCCATTTTCATTGTACTAAAAAGTAAATATGTATATAATTTGTCTCCATTTATAAGTTCAATATTCATAATAATTATAATAGTTTACGGCGTTTACGGTCATCTTATCGCATGCGCCCTAGTGCCCTACCGGAGATTGCGATCCATTGGTGGTTACGGGACGCTTGTGTCGAAACACTCAATCACTCGATTACAATCATGACATTTAATGCACTATGCACGTACTTAAAGGATTGGGAGTTTGTGGATGACTCTGAAGCCTAAACATTTTACAAAAATATGTGAGGTATTATTCGTCCTAGGTGTACAACTCCTGATATGCTTCCAAAGTATAATATAATAATATAATTTTACATATTTATAATATTTGAATAAATATGGTATAATAAATGAATATTATATTAAACGGCTATTACAGATAACTTATTGAATAGTGCAGTAGTTAGACACGAATCAATAAAATGTATAACATTTAACACCTTTTTAAAGGACATGGCGCAAATATTTTAAATTATTATTCTAATTATTTATTATATTTTAAAAGAACAAAATTTAAAAGTGTACATACCTATTTTGTATATTAATAAATAACGAGACGACGACGACCGCCGCAGTGCAGTTGATAATAATATAATAATTACCTGTTGGCTATTTGTATTAACTTGGAGTATTATTCAATTAGTCATTAAAATCACTTCTACAGTTTTACATCATCCAATTTGAAAATATTACTGTTTAAATATTGCCTCGTATTTTGCTGTAAAGAGTTTACGACAAGAAAGCCTGCTTACTTTAGGGACTTTTTAAGAATTTTATAATAATGTCCATGAGTTCTGCCTGTCCAGATTCTATTTCAATAACGCGGAACCGATGGTAGGTCTTGCCCCAAGGAATTTCTTAGGTAATTATACATAGTTCCTACTTTTGAAAACGACTGTTCAGGTATTGTTAAAAAACTAAGACATAATTAATAATGAACATACTTCGGGAAAACTACTACTCATATCATAATATTTTATTATTAATAATAATTCGTCGAATTCTCTTGAAGATTTATTTTTTGTGTTTGCATTCATAATGTTTTTACTCGAGGTAATAATATTTGTATCAATTATGATTCAAAGAAGTCATTTGGATTGCTGTTATAATAATATTGTTTTGTATTTGTTATTTTTGGTGTTGAAAATAAAAATAAATCGGAAACCTTTAAACTAATTATAAGAATCTGTTTCAACTGGCTTGTAAATAATTTATTATTTAAACCGTTTGGTGCCCGAAAGTCGACTATATTGGTTTCTAAAATTAAAATAGTTAATTTTTCGTTATTTATAAATATGTTCATAATCATTGATTCAAATAATCAAGAAGTACTCGTATGACGTATTATAAATAGCTAATAATAAAGCAAGATATTAAAATTAATTATTATTGTTTTCAAATTGAAACACATAAATATTTTGTGCTTAAAATAGTTTTCTGGAAATGCAGATTGGCTCCCTAGACTTAGGGTCCAGATTCACCAAAATTCCTCAAGCTTTACATTAACGTATTTCCGTATAAGATATACGCCACTTAGTTATAAATGTATTATGTAACTAGGTACGTCTATACGCTACACCCGTATGTGTTATCTCTGTCTAACAAATGTACACCATAGCAAAAACTGTTTTGCACGGGATAGAACAAACTCGGGCTGTAGTGAAAGTTAAGACCGCAAATTGATATAGGATATAGTTGAAAACATAATCTTTAAAATATTGTTTTTATTTTTTTGATATCACTTATACGAAAAAAGTTCTTAGCTTTTCAACATCTATTTTTTTCAAACTTTTTGAGTAACTTTTGTTGTAGTTTCAATATCGAACAATTATCGATGTACGATATTTCAGAACCAAAGTTCTCTTTTTTATATGGTGTAAATTTCGTTACTTAGTTATGATTAAATTCTCTTTTCTTTCGCAAGCTAAACAGTTTTTGCTATGTTTTACACTTGTGAGACGGAGACAACACATGCGGATTACGAGAGTAGCGTCCCCACTTGTGTTGTCTTCGTCTTACTTAAGCATAATATAAAAAAATATATGAGTTCCAGTATTATATTATTAGCTTTAAATATTAGAGTGATTGATCTATTATTACCAGGACTTGTAAATTCAAGCATTTGCATGTTTTTCTTGCAACATAGGAAAACATGCTAACTGAGATACAAATTCGTTTCATAATAAAGTAATGAACTAATGAATATAGTTTAAAAGTGCATGTTTTTGCAAATTTTGAGTGAAAAGGCATATTTGGCATAACGTAGATATTTTAGAGTTATTAACGTATATTATTTCATAAAAAAATATGTTTAAACAAATAAATATTTGAATTTTTTTTTGTTTTTTATTTTTTTTCCAATTTACAAAATTGTAGTATTTGTTTCGGTTTTTTTTATTCTCCTACGATCTCAGATTATATGATATGCCACAGGCCCACAGATTTAATAATAATAATATTAATGTAATAATTACAACAAATAGTGTTGATCTGCAAAGTTAGGTTTTGAGTATTATAAAACGTATACAAATTTAAAGAAATTAAATTCGGTTAAAAAAATGGATTAATTTTATTATTTCAAAATTCGCCTATAATTTTAGATTCTGAGTGGAGCGATGAATGTATTGATTTTACAATGATATGTGTTTTTTTTATACTTTGGTCTTTTTGTATCCGTCATCACTGTTTGGGGCAGTAAAAGTGCTTCGATTTTCTTCAACAGCAACTTCAACGGCGACGGAAATTTAAAATTGCATGTGGTCTTAGCCTTCAACCTACGTTGAAACAATTTTTTATAAACATAATTTAAATATGAAATGAATTTTTATATTTTATACCTAATAAGTAATCGAAGGTGCTAGAATGTGATTTGGCATCAGCAAACCGTAAAAAATTGGTCAGGTTAGATACGTGTGAATTGTTTTAAAATTACAATAATTCATCCTCTTTTAAAACAATTTATAATAATAATATGGTTCTGCAGTGTATGCACTATTGTACAGTAGTGGCTATAGTGTATATGTGCACAATTGCACGTTCTCTACCGTCGTTCCCGAACAAATCCTGAAACTACTACGACTAAGTACCTGTAGTGTTATTAAGATTATGTCTTAAGAGGATGCTACCCACGCGTTTGTTGTCTTTGTCTTACTAACTTACGACTTAGCAAATTTTCGTTCCCTAGTTTAAATTGTGTGCTATTAGTTTTGATATTAGAGTGAATTTAAGTATCATCAAACTTTTAGGTAGGAACATCATCTATGTTTAAGCGTCGGCGGATTTTCGATATTTTCATTTTAAAGCAAGATAAGAGTATGTGAAATAACACAAATCAAAAATGCTCATATCTCGATTGAAAATTAAAATATCTGAAAATCCGCCGTCAACTAAGCACATATAATATTTAGGTAGTTACCTATCACTTTGATAATAAGGTCAATTTACTCTAATAAACCAAAACTAATAGCACACTATTGAAACTAGTGCAAAAAAATCTTCTATGTCGTACGTGTGTAAGACGGAGACAACAAATGCATGGGTAGCGTCCTCTTAAAATGTAAATATAAAAATTCAGAACATGAAAACAATATAATATTTGGATTGGGTTATTTCGAAAGCCAAATGGCCGGGCGGTTGTCGGAACGGTATCGGTATGTATAGAAGTGC